CCCCCACCCCCGCGAAATCCCCCCCAAACGAAACCGGGTTGGGTTTTTTGTTCTTTTGTTTTTTCGGTCGTCGGAAAGCCGAGATCGAGCGCAAACCAGGTTTCAAACAGGTTGAGAGCCTCAAGGGAGCCCCGTCGGACGGAGCTGGGGGGGTGGGTTCCTCTCTCTCTCTGTCTCTCTTTTTTCTCTCTTTCTCTTTTCTCTCTGTCTCTTTCTCTGTCAGTCTTTCTGTCTCTCTTTTTTCTCTTTCTGTCTCTTTCTGTCTTTTTGTCTCTCTCTTTTCTCTCTTTCTGTCTCTTTCTCGCTCTCTCTTTCTCTCTCTCTTTCTGTCTTTCTCTTTTTTCTCTCTCTCTCTTTCTGTCTTTTTCTCTCTCTCTTTTCTCTCTTTCTGTCTCTGTCTCTTTCTCTTTTTTCTCTTTCTGTCTCTTTCTCTCTCTCTCTTTCTTTCTGTCTCTTTCTGTCTTTCTCTTTTTTCTCTTTCTCTCTCTCTTTCTCTCTCAGTCTTTCTATCTCTCTCTTTTCTCTCTTTCTGTCTCTTTCTCTGTCTCTCTCTCTTTCTTTTTTTTCTTACCTGTGTGGGTCCTTTTATGGATTTTGAGGTTCTCGGACCGGGCGAAAATCTTCCCGCATCCCGGGAAAGGGCAGGGAAAGGGTTTCTCGCCCGTGTGGACGCGGATGTGGTTGACCAGTTTGTATTTGGCCTTGAAGGATTTGCCTTGGCGGGCGCACTCGTCCCACAAACACACGTGGCTGTTCTGCTCGGGACCCCCGACGTGCTCCAGCGTGACGTGGGTGACCAGTTCGTGCATGGTGCTGAACTGCCGGTCGCAAGGCTTCTTGGACCGCCCCGCCGGCTGCGGCGGCGGCGGCTCTTCCAACCACTTGCAAGCCAGTTCTTGCTTCACCGGTTGCCGCATGTAGCGGAAGAAAGCGCCCGGTCCCGCGTGGGGGTGATGGTGGTGGTGGTGATGATGGGGTCCCGCCACGTTCACCGGCCCGTAGTTGGGGAAGGGCGGCGCCGCCCCGTAAGCGTCCGCTCTGGGGCTGGAGACCCCCCGGTAGGAGTCCGGCCGGCCGAAAAATTCTCCGCGCAAACCCAGATGCAGCTGGCCGCTCTCCACGGGAGTCGACGGGGAAGGCAGCCCGGCCACGTTCTGCTCGTGCAAGCCGGGGAAAAGCAAGTAGCCCCCCGCGCCGTCCGCCAAGCCGCCCGGCGCGTGGAGTCCGCCCGGCGGGTTGCTGCCGAAAAGGCCGTGCTGAGCCGGGGAGCCGCCGGGGGTCCCGCTGGGCCCTCCGCCGCCGCCGCCTCCGCTCGAGGGCGCTTCGGCCAGGGCGCAGCCCCCGCGGTTGCGGAAGAGAAAGTCCCGCGTGGAATTGAAGGCGGCCACGTAAGGAGAAGGCACCTGGCCGGCGGCGGCGTGAGGGGGCGGCGGGTGATGGGGGTTGTGGTGGTGGTGGTGGTGCGGGTGATGGGGGTGCGGATGATGGGTCGTGGGGTGGTGGTGGTGCGCGAAGCCCGAAGCTTGCGGCGTGAAGGCGGATCCCTGCCCCGAGGCCAGCTCGTGGGCGGCGGGGTTGAGTTTGAAGGAAGGCTCGGCGAACGGAGGGTGGTTGAGCCCCAGGGCCACGTCGTGCGGGTGGGGCCGAGAGGCCGCGAAGCCCCCGACCCCCAAGGTGGGGAACTGGGGCCCGCCGTCCAGCAGCATGGCCATCGTCCTCCCTTCAGGCGACCGCGAGGGAGCGTCGATCCACGGCACCCGCTCCTCTCTCTCGCCTCTTCCTTCCGTGGGCGCCGGAGGGGACGCCGCCGCCCCCCGTTCCCCTCCGACCGACGCGGAGCCCGCTCCGAGCCCCCTTCTTCGCCTCCTCCGGCCTGGGCTGTGGCCTCCCCCCTCCGGCCTCGGCGTCCTCCTTCCCCTCCGCTGCCCCCCACCAGATCCTCCCGCCGCCTGGAGATCAGCCCCGCCACACAATAGCCGGGCTGGCAGGGGGGCTGGCGAGGCGGCTCCGCCACGGCCACATTCACACGCGCGCCCGACCTGACCTGGCGTGGGGAGAAGCAGCAGCAGCTGAAGAAGAAGAAGAAGAAGAAACAGAAGAAGAAAAAGAAAAGAGAGTCGGGCAGCGCGGGTGGAAAAACCCCACCCACCCGTCCCCGGAGGACCAAGGACGGCGATGCCCCAGAAGGAGAAAAATCCGGGGGTCGCCCCCCCCCCCCCCCCCCCCCCCCCCCCGGGAGGGGGTTCCCCGCCGCCTGCCTTCTCCGTAGGGCGCCCTCCGCTTCGGCGGAGCGACGTCCTGGCACTGGCTGGGCTCGGCCGCTTCTCCCGGGCTAACCCAGAGGGAAGCAGCCGAGGGAGGGGGGCTCCGAGGAGCGAAGAGCGGGTGGGGGGGGGAGGGGGGGGGGGGGGGGGGGCCCCACTCCGGGGGGGGGGGGGGGGGGGGGGGGGGGGGGGCACGTCTGGGCCAGCCAATGGGGAGCCAGCCAGCCGGTTGTCACCTGACCTTCCACCCGGGATGCCCATTGGCCCTCCCGGACGGACGGACAAGCTCTGCCTGTCTTGGAAATGGCAGCTGGCGGTCCGGGCCCGGGCCGTGATTGGACGGGGCGCCCCTCTCCGTGGGGCGCAGGTAAGGTGAAAGGCTCCCCCCCGCACACACACACACGCCGCCCCCTCCGCCCGCAGCGTTTTGTTTACTGGAGATGCGACGGTGCGGGGGAGGGGAGGGAGGGAGGGAGGGGAGGTGCTCGCGCATCCTCCCCCTTCGCCGCCCATCCTCCCCACCAGAGTGGGGGTCTTTGCAAGCGCTGAGCCAGTTCGAAGCCCCGCCGCTTGCTCGCCTTTGGCCTGGATGCCACCCACCCCCTCCTCTTCCTCCTCCTCTTCCTCCTCCTCCTCCTCTTCCTCCTCGCCGGCCGCTCCGAAGTGATTCAATTGCCACCGTAATTCTGATTATTCGTGATTTTTGTTTTCTCCCTCTTGGTTTGATTTTGCCGTCCTGGTGACTTTTATTTTTGGGCTCGGAGAAGCCGAGGGCGGACGGCCCGGGGAGGGAAGCCCCCTAAAGCCGGGGAGAAAAGGGGGGACTCCCTCCCCGACCGGAGGAGGAGGAGGCGGAGGATTTCACGGAGAAAAGGGAGTGAGGGAGGGAGAGATCTTCCCGGCGTGGAAAGTCTCTGAGCGACCAGATCGTGGCCTCCGTCCTCCGAACCGTTTTGGGTTCCGTGACCCGGCCTTTCCGATCCTCTAGGGAGGGGCGAGCAGGGGAAAAAAGTCCCCCAGTGGAGTCGCCACGCGAAGCGAAAAGCGCTCGGCAAAGGCGGATGCGTGGAGCTCGGGGAGACACACGCGAGTCTCTAGAGAAAGAAGTGGGGGGATCCTGGGTGCTTTCTGAGTCTGGCTGTTTTCAAGCTCAAGAGCATTAAAAAAAACAACCTCATTTCGACCCTGGGCTACAAATATTCTCCTTTAAAAGGAGGCGTTTCTTAAAGTTTGGGCGTGAAACCGGGTTTGCTTTCTGCTTGGGGGTCTTTTATCTTTTTTTCCCCGAACCCGAAGAGAGGAGACAGTTGTGGGTTGGGGCTGGGTCGGGCACGGGAGCCCTCCAGGACCACTTCCTCGGGCAAAGAAGGGTCCTCTCGCCCGGTCAGAGCGAGAAATCCCGTCGGAGGGGGAGAGAGACAGAGAGAGAGGGAGAGACAGAGAAAGAGAGAGGGAGGAAGAGAGAGAGAAGGAGAGAGACAAACAGAGAAAGAGGGGGAGAGGGGGAGAGAGGGAGAAAGGAAAGAGAGAGGGGGGAAAGAGAAACAGAGAGAGAGAGAGAAAGAAAGAGAGAGAGAGAAAAACAGAGAGAGAGAGAAACAGAGAGAGAGAAAGGAAGAGAAACAGAGAGAGAGAAAGAGAGAGAGAGAGAGAGAGAAACAGAGAGAAAGAAAGAGAGAGAGAAACAGTGAGAGAAAGAAAGAAAGAGAGAGAGAGACAGCCCGGGCACTCCCTGCTCGACTTGGGTTCTCAACGGCGAGGAGCCGCCTTCGCCTCGGTTTTAGGGGCGCTTCTGAAAATCCTTTGGAAGGAAAAAAGGGGGTCGGAGGGTGCATGGAAGATGGGGAAAAGGCGTGGGGGGAAACGAGGCCGGAGATTGTGTTGGGTTCCTCTTCCTAATTAGGGGATGCCCCCCCCCCACCTTCTCCGCTTTAAAAAAAAAAGAACCCCGGAAGATTCGCTGCCCCCCCGGGCAGGAAATTGGCCCAAACGGGGGCCCGGGGGGGGGGGGGTGTCTCCAAGGCAGCCCGAAGCCGCCTCCCCTCAAGCCCCTTCCGAGGTTTCCCCGCCTTTCTTGTAGGGATCTGGTCGGAAGCGGGAGGGAGGGAGGGGTGGAGGAAGAGCGCAAAACCAGAGACAAGGAAAAGGAGGGAAAACATCAGAATAAACCTTTAATCTCCCCTTCCCCAATTCACACCCCCCACCCCACCCCCCCCTGGCAAAAAAAAAAAAAAAACCCAAGAATCCGCTCCTTTCCGGACGTAACTAGCGGGTCTCGGTCGCTTTTAGTCGCTCGCCAACTTTTGGGGGGTACCCCCTTCCTTGCCCCGCCCCGAAACACCCCCCTTCCCTTGGTCCCCTGGCCGGTGGGCAACCGAGAAAGAAGCTTTATGAGGAGGGGGAGGAAGGCGGCAGCTGGTGGGAGGGAGCGAGAAGAGCAGCATTGGAGGAGGGGGATCTGTAGGATTGGTGCCCCCTTGGCGCGTCCATACGACCGGGGAATGCGGGCACGCGAGACCGGGGCAAAGCGCCCCCCGGGCGAGTGGGCGTTGTGTGGTTGGGGTTTTAAGACTGGCGTGCGAAGGGGAGAGGTGGAGGGTGGGACGACCCCCTCACACACCCCCAAGCACGGGGGAGGGGGCTTGAAATCAACACCCCCCAATTCGGAGGGGCGTTGGGGCTCCCGGCTTCCCTCTCCTCCTCCTTTCCCCCCGATTTGTGCCCTTCTTCTCCCTCCCGAGTCTGCCTGGCCCGGCGTGGATCGGCTCCTATTGGGGTCCCTCGGCGCCCGTCCTTCCAGGCCGAGAGAGAGAGAGAGAGACCACGAATGACCTCCCGCGCGTGTTTTGCCCTTGACACGCGTGCAAGAATTAGACCCATCCTCCACCCCTCCCTCCAAGCGCGCCTGGGTTTTAGGGCAGCTTTCTGAGAAGGGCGTGCTTAGAGCTGGCCTGGGCGTGGGCATTAGGACTGACCCCCCCCCTTGTAACCAACCCACGCACCCACAAATATACACACACCGCCCCGCTCGCCCGTGGCCTTCGCCTTGGGGGGATGGTGCGTGTAGGACGCCTCGCGCAATGTCCAAACGCCAAGGCTTCACTTTCACGGGACCTTGCCACGCACGTCCGCCCACCCCACCTCCCACCAGCGCCTGTTTCCCCTACCTTCCTCTCCAAGTGGGAGGCGGGAAGACTCCGTGCGTTGGTGGGTGGGTGGGTGGGCGACAAAACCCCGCAGGCCGAGAAGGAAGGAAGGAGAAGCAGCAGCCCCCGTTGCATTTAAAAAGAAACAAACTTAAAACCAGCATTAGATTGGGGGAGGGGGTAAGACTTAGATCAGGCGGCCTCTCCCTCCCCGCTGCTGAATTTAAAATAAAGCGCCACGTCTCCAACGCGCGTGGGAGGAGACACGGATTCCCCTCTCAGGCCGCCTTTGTTGTGCGAAAGAGAAAGGGAAACGACGCATTTGTCCTTAAACAAGCAGAGGGGGGGAGGAAATAATTTTTTGGGGGGGTCGGTTTTGCTGGGGGGTGGGTGGGGCTCGGAGGAAGGTAAAGACGGAGATCGGGGCGCTGCTTTGGGGCCTGGCCAGGACGGGGAGAGACGGAGGGAATTGGGGAGGGGTGTGTGCAGATAAAGCCAACTTGACCGACGGAAGTCTTGCGGGTATAAATAAAGGAAGCAACAATAAAATGAAGCTATAAATCTGTTTTTCTTTCATGCCTTTCTCTCCCCGGATTCTTCCGCCCAGCCTCCTCGGGCGACCGAAGAAATAATGCACGAAGAAGAGACCCCCAGAATGGGCGAAACTGGAATCCCTAACCCACTCACCCACCCACCCATCCCCAAACAAGGAGAGAGATTGCGGGGCGGGTGTGTAGGGAAGTAGGCCCGATTTTCACTCTTGAAAAGAACTTTTCCTCTTCCGAAAAGTCGACGAGAGAAATACAGATTTTAAAACAAAACAAAACAAAAAAAAGCTTGCCTGTTGGTTTTAAAAGCAATTCTTCAAGGATTGGGTTTTTTAAAAAAAATATATAAATACATTTTTATAAATAAATTCACCGTTCTTCCACCTCTAGCCGTCCTCATTCCATTTCCAGCATTGATTTCGGGCGTTAGCATTGATTTCGTTCTCTATTATACGGCGGCTTTTTTTCTTTTGCTTTCTTTGGTATACAGAATTGGGATAACAACAGCAACGTCCACGCAATTTTTTTTTCCCCTTGAAATCCCTCCTCTAAAAAAGACAGGAACCCCAACTCGCCTTGTAATCCCACGGGGGGGGGGGGCAAGAAAACGTGGATCCGAGCTGGATTGCGCGCTTACTTGGATTTGCGTGTTTATTTAAGGGTAGAGAGGCGCGTTGGGTGAGCTCCTTAGTTCATCCGCATTTATTCCTCTTCCAAATCCAAAAGAAGGCTTGGGAGGGTGAGCCTGTATTTC